GTAATTACTTTTGCCTTGGGTTTTACCAGTAAAATCTGTCCCCAGGCCTCTCAGCTCCACCAGCTTACCAGAAAACCTGCAGAGTACAGCATTACCTAGAGCCACTGCACATACTTAATCCTGCAACCAGATTAGATACCTCCAGTGGTGCTGAAACAGCTGGCTGATGACATCATCAGGTTATTATTACATTCAAAATGTCAAGTCACTCAAGGGGGTTCTGATAACTTGAACAAATATCACACTCATCTTGAAGAGTAAGAAGGGAGGTCTGGAAAACTACAAACTGTTGGGGCACACCTTTGTTCCTGGGAGGTTTATGGAGCAAATGTATTGTTATGAAGCAAATTTATGGAAGCCATTTCCAAGCATATGAAGGACAAGAGAGAGATTGGGAACAGCCAGTATCGATTCACCAAATTACAGCAGAGCAACCAGTTTGCCACATCTGTGGATAAGGATGGATGTTGTACACCTTGACTAAAAGCAAGGCTTTTGAGATGGTCTATTATAGCATCCCATAGTTAAATCGGTGAACATGAACTGCTGTCTCAGCATATCAGCAGATGCTGCTGAATCAGGGAAATGACTATGCTATAGGGCGAGGCTGCTATCCAGAGGCACCTTCACAAGATGGAGATAAGCTAAAAAGAATATCATGAAGTTCAAATCCGCAAAGTCCTGCATCTGGATTGGAATTGCCCTGTGCAGCTGCACTGAGCGGCCAGAAAGCATCTCTGGAGAAAATGTCTGGAGGGTACTGGCCAATTTGAACAAGGGTCAGCAATGCCTCTGCATTAAATTCAGACCGCCATACCCTGGGCTGCAGTAGCAAGAATGCAAGGGAAGTGCTTATTGCCCTCCATTCAGCACTGCTGGGACCACATCTGGAGTCCTGTGTCCAGTTGTGTTCTCTCCTGAACAAGAAAGAAACTGCTACACTGGAGTGAACCCAGTGCAGTCCCATCAAGCCAGCTGGGTAGCCCATTGTATTTATAAGGAGAGGAACTCAGTGTGCACAGCTCTGAGAAGAGCAGGCTAGGGAGAGACCTTATTGTTCGCTTCAACTACCTAACGGGAGGGTGCAGGGAAGAAAACTCCTCTTGGAGGTGCACAGTGGAAGGATCAGAGGCAATGGACAGAAGCTTGCATGCCACCAATTCAATTAGGTATTAGAAAAAGGGTGAGGGTTTTTTGGTTCTGTTTGTTTTAGACCATGAAGGTAGTCAAATACCAGGTCAGGTTGCCCAAATGACCTCCAGAACGGTTTTCCAGCACAAATCATTCTAACATCAAGTCTACAAGTAGAGCAGAGCACAGAGTAGAGACCTCAGCACAGTACTGCTGAGAATTATTTTCTGCCACTAGCACAGTTAAGTGTCATATTAACATGCCAATGAATGACCCAAAAGAATATTAATCTCACTCGTATAGAGGGTCATCAAAACCATGTAACCCAGTGATCCTCAAAGGCTATTCATTTGGACTAGAATAATGGGATAATTATTATCATAATCAATACAAGATTCACTCAGCTGGGTGCAAAAAGGGTTTACATAGCATTTCCTTTGTTATTTTTTTTATTTGAGACATAAGGCTTATTTGTCAATGCCTTGGTTAATACAAGACAGGAACACTGAAATTATCAGGGGTGTGTAGGCATTTTATTTTAAAATCTTGTGGAAGTGCTTCATAGATAGAAAAACATGCAAAATACAGGAATTCAAACAACAAGCAGTAGATCTTGTTGAGACATGCAGGAATTTGTCTCATGAAGCTAAGACCAATTCTTTGCATCTTCCAGTTGCACTTATAATTAACGGAAATACATTCTTCCTTGCTGACTACTATATGGGACTATTACAGATTTTCACCTGAATTTCAGCCTAAACGATTCATATGAACTAAGAAGAGCATGCCAGATTGATCTGTGGTGGTCAGAACAGCTTTCAAGATGATTTATCTCTGAACAGGGAAAAGAGAATTTTCACTGCAATCCTTGTAATCCAGTAAATAAAACTTAGAGGCGAAAAAAAAGAACATCCACTTATTTCAAATGAAAATTTCTGAAATTAAAAGTAAAAAATTTTGCTTTCAACACTTGTAAAATAAAGTTAATCAGTTAGTCTAAATCATGCCCAAGATAGACAAGTGTTTAAACAGCTGTAATACATGAAGGCCCTTTCAGCATACAAAGAGACTCCAAGATTCATAAATAAAACTGTTTTCTAAAACAAGTATCTATTCTCATTCTTCCACAGCAATATACATGGAGTCTTACCTAGATCTACAAAAGGAAGTACATTCGGGGCTTGAGATGCAAGCTTTGTGTCTTGAGACACAAAAGACAAAAGCTTAAGCAAAGATTTCAAATGAAAATGAAAGAGTTGTTCATGTTAGAGTGAACAAAATGAAAGGTACAGAGACAGACACAAAATCCTGATTCCTGTTTTGTAATTTAGAGCTAATTTGACTCATGAGCGTTCCAAATGCATCAAGATATTTCAGTTCCCATCAGTAGAACATTTATTACTATTTGATATCCCACTTGGTCATTATACTTAGTAAATTAATCTACTAGAAGCACCACCAGAGAAGGCAGCATTAACCAAATCTAGTCTCATATGAAATTCATTTCGGACAATTGATGTCTCTGGGTAGCATTTACTGGGGCTAGTGACTGATGCAATGAGTTATTAATGCCTGCCTGGCCTTACCAGCACTGCCAGCTCCAGCACAAGCATTCAGGAGACGGTTGCTTTTGCCTCTAACACTGCTGTTCCACAAGCACCTCAAGGCAGTATAAAACTCCTCTGAGACAGACTGATGGGCTCCCCATGCCACAGCCATTCCTCCCTTCACCTGGGTACAACCACCCCAAGAAGCTGCAGAGTGAGCTGGTCTGAGTTTGAAACAAACCAAGCCTTAAGGAGGAAGAGGCTTCAGTTTTAATGACTTTCTTGTTCCAGGTCATTATGTGGGTGCACAGGCACTCTCCTGGCATACAGGAGAGGGGGCAGATAGGACTGCCTTTTGGCTGCAGTGCCATGTGTTTGGTGGACAACAGCACAAACTTGCCTAGTTACAAACCTAGTTATGACTGAGGGTGTACTTGGACACCAGCCTTCTGATGTGACCTGTGCTCTATTGGGTGGATGACTGTCATTGCCAGGTTACATTCTCTAGTTTTGTCAAATCATTCTAGGCAATGAATCCAAACTGGGCATACAAAAGGATATGAACATCAGGAGGGCTTGAGAAAGACAGAAATAGAGACTGCAGATGAATAAAACCAAACCAAACCCTTCTGTGGCTTATTTTTGGTGGAGGTAAATGAAATTAATATATGAACCAATGAAACTGTGTGTCTTGTGATTAAATAAATTTCTGTTTCAATGCAATATAGTGTTTTAACCAGCTCCTGTTCACGTGTATTCCTGACAAATATCCACCAAATATCTACTTTAGAAAACAGAAATAATTCACGATACGACCCAAGACATTAATGCTACTGAAAAATGTAACAAATTCTGCTCAACCACCAAAAGCAGGTATTTGTGGAGGGGAGGGGGAATCCAAAAAATGTTAATTTAGTAAACTAGTTCATCGCTCTTTCCCATTTTATTTTTTATTTTTGCTAGTCCGAGTAAAAGTCAGTAGGTGATCTCAGTTCCTGTACCTCACGGAAGCAGACTCTTTGCAATATCCCTGTTTTCAATTGTAAATGTTAACCTGATCAACACCATAACGGAGTTTACACAATAGCCTCAGCTTTAGTAAAACACCTAAAAAATTAGCAAGTCAATTTAAAGTGAAAAACAACTCCCCCTTAAATCCTATTCAGACCTGCAATTTCTCTCCAGGCCAAAACATACATACACGTTCTCCGGGCAGGCTCCCTCTTTGTAATGTTAACAGAACAATTTAAAAGAACTGGATGCTTAAAAAAGGAGATAGAATTTAAATATTGTGGAGGAGGGGGATGGGGTTCCTTTGGTGTCTTTTGAAGCATCTTCAATTTATGGCTGCATGTCTCTAAATAAGAAACAGGAATACTGCCTGCTTCACTGGAAATACTGGGAAAAATTGGTAGTGTGAAAGCTTTCTCCCAAGTCACAGACTGCAGAATCTGAAGAAACACCACACGGTGCTCTGCAGTATATGGTATTCATTACATTTTTTGTTTCAGTACTGTGTGTAATGGCTATCTCAGAGGACTTCAAGACCCATATCTAGTCTTTCATATTCAAGACCCATATCTAGTCATCATCTAAAAGTAGAAGGCATCATAAAAGTATGTTAATCCTCTAAATTATTTGCAGGATATATCCTATCAGATTCAACAGAAGATGTTTTTAATCCTGCTGCTGTGATTAAACCTAACTTTACTTCTACATATTTGTGTATCTATGTGAAGACAGTAATGTAGAAAGCAGAACTGCAGAGTTTGTAGCATACATTCATAAAGGTAGCTTTTTCTTATATTATTTGTGGCAATATTCTTCTAAAAAAGCAAGGGGAAGCTTGCTTTAGAAGTTAATTTTTGTGTTGAGCTCCCACTGTCTGTATTTCTTCACTATTATTGTGCTGCAATTAATTCCCATCACCAAATGAACGATGACATCTGGGAAAGTTGCTGAATCAAACACAGAAGAGTAAAAGCACAGTTCCAAAACTGTAAGCTCTCTATCATGTAGCAGATAAAAATGAGCTTACTTTTACACCAGACAGAATATCAGGAATCACAAACTAATCCTCAACAAACCTTAAACCTGCTGACGTGAGCAAAGAAATTTTAGTAAGATTCACAAAAACCACATGCTCAAAAAGGTGAGACAGTCACCTTAGTCAGAAATGAAAAATGAAGATATTTTGTCACATAATTAAGAATTTTTTAAAAAGTAAAATTGTGAACACCTATGTGAGTTTGTGAGAACAGTGAAATTATATATTGATTTGGAAGATTCAGAACAGGCTTTTTTTAATTTTTAAAAACATACCTTGTAGAGACCAAAGAAACCTAAGTCCCTTAATACACTGAGGGCACTAACTCGTGGACCAGTAGTAATTTCTCCAGCCACCTGCAATCGAATCTTGACAATTTCCAGTGGATTGGTAAAGATCACTTGAGAACCTCCAGCCTGAAATTAAAAGTAGAAATTAATACATTAACCTGTAAGATTATTTGCAGTGTATGTCCTGTTACATTCAAGATAGGACATTTTTATTTCTGCTGCAGTCAATTAAGCTATTAGCAGAGAAGAGTTTTAGTATTAGTTAATGCACCTCACAAGATATGAAACCTACTCCCCCACGAGCTGAGTGGTCTGGAAAAAGAGAGAGGAAGAAGATCAGCCACTACAGGACACTGCAGCACACCAGACGGACACCAGCTCAATTCTTGTAGCAATAATACATTCACCAACACCAAGTTATGCAACACTGACAAGCCAAGGACACTGTAACACAAGCAATGAAGTGAAAGGAAAAATTACTAACTAATAAAGAAACTGTGATGTGCATGCCAGTCTACAGAAAGTGAATACATACTATTGAAGAGTAGAAATCTGGCAGAAACTTGTTCAATTTTGACAAGGAACACGCGGTCCAAAGATGAGAACTGCAAGTGCTTTTTTAAAAAACCCTCTGAACTACCAGTTTCAGTGCCATCAAATGCTGTTTGATTCAAGAGTCTGAGCTCCACATCATTATTTACCCATCAGGTACTAAAGAAAAGAAGGTCCACAGACTGAAGGATTCTGTTAATCAAGAACTGCTAAATGTTTTTTATGTGTCAGTCTCCACTTGTTGGGAAGACACCACTGGATTGATTTTGAAAGTCAGTTTTAAAACAACAGTGGAAAGCATTTTGGACTCCCCACTAGCTCTTGTAAAGTTTGTCTCATTCATATTATGTAATATAGGGCACAACCTTTTTGCTACACTGACAGATCCAGAGCTAAAAATTTGCAACAAGAAAAAAGGTGACGTGAAGGTTACCTAAGCGTATTCAAAAAATAGTCATTCAAACTCCATCTGTCTCAAATTCAACAGAGTGTCATTCTAACTTCTGCTAAATTCATAATTCTGTGGCCTGACAGCTATGCTCTTCTTAATGTTCTGAAATCACACAAACTCACCCTCCCCACAAAAAACAAGTGTTTTGTTCTAGAAGCTAATGACTAAAATGAAATAAACTGCATTTAAAAGCCCTTGCATTGGCCATGTCTAGTATGTAAACACTACGTGCATATCTTTTTTAAATTATCCAAAAGTTAAAAGAATTAATTGTAGCTCAGATTAACTATCATTCAAAATAAAAAATAAATGCAATAATATGGTTTAAACAATGTGCTGAAGAAATGGCAAATTACACGAACAACTACTCTTGTCTACCACTTAGACTGAGCATACACAGTGTGGTTACAAATTAAAGTCTTTACATAACCCCCAAAATATCCCAAATGTTTCCTATTTTGACCAGAAAAGGCATGCTCTTGTGTAACTCAAATCGTTCTGACTTTCAAATTGGCATAATTTAATTTAAATGCTTTTACCAAACCAGAAGCCTGGTACATTTAAAACTGCTATTCTTGTTGCCATCAGAAATTAAGACTGATAAATTATTTGGCACATATGCTGCCTTCAGTTTTGCACTTAAACTGAAACATGTTAAATAAGTAAGTATTCAAAACACAAAATTGTTTCTTTTACTTGTCTACTCATCTTGCAAATTCTCAAAATAAACAAAAAGAATCCTGGAAAGGTTCTCTGGTGAATTGCATATTCCTATGTAAAAAATATTTTGGTGTAGGTATTACAAATATTAAGCATTCCCACATGCCAACATACATATTTTCTTCTCAAAAAGGATAAAATCTCAACTGCAGGAGATAATGTTTATTTGCAAGTTTGCTACACCACATCCATCATCTAAATGCACATTACTGAAAAAGTCATATCAATTGATCTATTAGCACAATAAAACTACTTTCCCTCAGTATGATACTCTTGCAGTTAATTGTGCCATAACCCCATGAAAACCGTTCCTTTAATTTTCACTATGGGAGAACCATACTAAAATTTAAAAGATTACAACAAAATTAAGTAGCAGTAGTATTATTAATGCACCAAAATATGGAACAATTTTAAAATCTATAGAAATGTTTATAAGTGAATGCCATACTTAAAAAAAAGAATACAGAAACACATATCTGATTTTAAAGGAGAATAAAGGCAAACAAATTCTGAATACAAACACATGGAAGTACTTCAGGTGCTACCACATATAAATGTTTATGTTTGCATGTCCAACCTGGCTGGGTTGGCACTTCCAGCATTAGATGTTTGCTGCTCTGGCTAAATCATAAAAGACTTCCTCTGCTTCAGTCTCCTATATAAAAATGGGGATGCCGTTATTTACCCACCTCATACAATTAAGCTTTCTGCATTCAATTTTTAAAACTACTGAGACCTGCATGCACCAGGCAGTACTAAAAAGACTAACAATTTTGCTGCCCACATAGCAAGTGTGAAGAACGACACTGGTCATTTCCACTGAAGTCTTTCCAAACTGTCCAGGTAGTAGCCCAGAACTCCCTGAACAACCTCTGAGTTTGATCAAAGATATACACCAAAATTCAAATGGTGAATAACTGAAAGTGGTGAGCCAGACAATACCTGACAGAGGGTCTCAACAGGAGGGTTTCTACCACCTGCCTGCCTTGTGATGGAGAGGAAGCCTGGTTTATCAGCCCGTGCAGAGGCAGTTGCAGCTGTAACAAGTACAGTCGCCTGGTGGGGAGCTTTGATCATTCTGTTATTTAAGCATCTGTGCTGGTAACTGCAGCTCCTCACTCTCAAAATGGGAGGGGGGGAAGGGGGGAAGCAAACCGGAGATGGCTACTATACTCTCTAATGAAATGATTTCTTGCTTATCTAGTACTGGTAACTCCTATTGTGCTATTCATCATCATAGTATGCAAGTGTCTCATAAATATTAATGTATTTCCTCCCAGTGCTCCTGTAAGAAAAGTACAATGACTCTGGTTTTACAAGAAGGGGTTTTGAGGCAGAGAGGTTAATTGTGTGCCCAGTGTATCCCCCCCCAGCTCAAACACACACAGCTTGTAAGAGTCTCCAGATACCCTGATCTCAAAATCAGTGGTTTGAATAAAATAGCATGGCTTCTGTCTTCCTTATGAGTTTCTGCATAGTGAATGCAATGAAAGAAATCTTATCAATTTTTTTTTTTTTTTTGCAGTCTGTTCAAGGTGCTGGTATAAATTGGTATGAAAAAAACAGACAAAACATCAGCAGCACATTCTATCACCCTGCTCATTCATTGTTTGACCAAAAGTTGAAGACTACGGCTTTTTGTTTGCTAACTTTTGCAGTTAAAAGTGTATTTCATTACAAAATTTTGAAATACGCTCCCAAAGGGCAGAATTTGAAAACTACTCCTTTTTTTTTTGTCCAGAATAAGCACCATTTAAGCTCAGGTTTCTCAAGCTTAATGATTTCTCCAGGAAGTGTCAGAAAAATCAACTTCATCAACTATTTAATACAGACAGTTCTCAATGACACCAATTTTTCTGTACTGAAGTTATAAACTTGAATACCCTCAACTCTGAATTCCTTATCACCTCCTCTAATAATTTTTTAAAGAAACAAATTATCTGACTGTAAGAGCACATCCATTACTTTCCAGTTGTTATCATGTGATTAAAATAAAAACTACAATTTTGAGTTATTTATAGGAGTAAATACCTAGAGGTACTGCATAGATAATTAACTGTAAGGGTCTCCAAAGGGTCCATATTATTCTGAAAGAATTTAATATTTGACCTAATCGCAAGTACTTATGGTCTTGTTTGATTTAAAGCAAGAAAATAAAAGGAAAATATCTCTGTCATCGAAGAACTTCTCATTCCCACATAACTAGAAATCTGCATGCCTTTAAATATGCTTTAACACACAGTCAGCTAGCTATGCATCCACACACGTGAATTTTTAAAGATAAGCTAGCTTTTTTTTTCATTTTTGCAGTTCCTCAACTCTGCTATTCATATGATATCATCCAACACCTCTCGATGGCAGTATAGTCTCGTACAGTAATACAGCACTATCATGTCTCCTTCTGCTTTCCTACTTCACTGAACAGAATGGAGAAGTAGAAATAGCTGAAGGTTGGTTGGTGTTTTTGTCCATGGAGAAATAAAACCCACTCTGTAGTGAAAAAAAAAAAAAAAAAGTTTAAAAACAACCACTTAAAAATACTCCAGTTCGAGAAGTCAGAATGTTTTCTACTTCTTCAGGTGTTCAAATCACTCTGCAATAAACTTACTGGAAAATAAACAGATTTTCACTCCCCTCATTATGCCAAGAGAAAAAATTCCTGTTCTTTTTAATGTAACTGCATTTTGTGCCCTTATGAGGTTAGATAAGAAATGAGCACACCAGACACAACTCTCCTCAGGCTTTCACATCTCCATTTGAAAGGTTCAGTGTACCTTCTGAAGTGAATACAGCTTGCAATTCAGGAAGGAAATTCTGTGTTTTCCATTCCAGAAGAAAGTACTAGATTCTTTTCTTTTCAATGCTACTGACCACCAAATGTTCTTGTTCCTCTAATTAACCTTATTACCTACTTCAAATCGTAAGCCCTTTCCTGCTCTCAGCTAACAGCATTTAGGGTCAGTCTAGATCTTTCCTCTGCATCCTATCTGACTTATCACATATCCCCTCTTATGGTTTCATAGATGAAGGAAGGATTACTACTGCTATTAGAGTGTTAATATTTCCCAACAATATCACCCAGAGATTGCAATTATGGCAATTAAAGGCAACCATTAAAATACATTAGTAACATATTATGCAATTATCAAAAATCAACCTCTGCAAAAGAAATTGTCTACAATGTCTTATTACTTGTTTAACTCATAAAAAGACAAGCAGGTGCAAGTTCCAAAATTTTTAGTCAACTATTTATCACATTAAATCCTACTGAACGTTGTACTCTGTCCCAAGTCCTTACTCCTTGCCAGTTGCCAGATTCAGCTTGTTTTCCTGTGCACTTCCTAGCATCCAATAATCTTATTTAAAATTAAGGTTCCTAAAGTACAGACACAAAGATTGTTCT